GCATGTAATCACTGTAAAAATTCTTGTCAGACTTTCAGAAAATCATTTTCCAACACCGGGAAACGGTTTTCCACTTTCTTGCATATGGCCTCAGATTCGGGTAACGCGATTTTCCAACCAGATTCGAGTAAAATTCAAACCAAATTCGGAATTTGTTTCATTTTCCGACCAGATCTGGTGATTTTCTGACCAGATCCGACCGAGAAAGCTAATTTTCCAACCTTATTCGGACAATTTTCTAACCAGATCTAGCCATTTATGCCCCGGAATTTTCCTGAATCTGGTTAGAAACCGATTACCAGAGAATACACCCAGCGATAATAAAGCCACCAGACACTCAACAACCGAATAGAAATGCTCCCACCGTGAGCTTGAATCGACAAGGTAAAACAACAGTTGATTCGTCTGAAGTCAATATGTATAATTGTTATGCACAATTAAAAATTGATTTATCCTCGTCATCTTCCCCTGACTCGTCCTCCATTCCGAAGTCGTCACATCCAATGTCGGCACGCGACATTCCTGGCTGATGCTCGAAAAGAATTCGGAACACGTCATGAGCAACAGCTCCACCGGGACTCAAAGTGAGCCGGCTCACACTGATGCTCACGACGTGTTTCACGAGATTCCATCGCAGTTCAGGTCTTATGACGTCTCTGGGAGCGATGTTGACTTCGATGATGGCGAGGACGATCCAATGGCTGACTGAAAAAAAAGAACATTTTCTTTGAACCGATTTATCAAAGCATACCTGTGACATCCTTCTACTTCCGTTTTTGAATAAAGTATCTGAATGTAATTATGAACCCTCCAAAACGCCCGGAAACAACAATTCTTACTAAAATATCAGAAGAAGAGAAGCGATTATGAAGAACAATTATAAACACAAAATTCAAACATGGGATGATTTGAAAACGGTTTTTTTTCCGTTTAAGAAAACTTTAAAGGTGGGGGGACAGGAGATTTTACGGGGGATTTTTGGGGCCAGAGTATGCATTCTACCGTGACGGTGTACAACGCTTAATGTCACTCTGCGTACAGCTGTCGTCCTCGCCTTTATGTATGCAATCGGGCGACCGCTTTCTCTTTGCCCGTGTAGCTCAGTCGGTAGCGGCGCCGCACCCTCAATCATCGCCCCACACGTTCAACTCCTCGAGGGGCATATTTGAACGAAATTTCGAGAACATTATTTTTTTTCATGTCCCCCCACCTTTAAAACTTCAAATTCTGCTTTGAAACCATTTTATTACATAAAATGTGTAGAAAAAAGCAGTAAAATTATCGGTGTGCGGCAGGTTGCAAATTCGACAGCGCGCATATTGCGTTTTCGCCCCGCCCCCTCGTAAATCGACACAAGCGGCGTCTCCGAGATTTTCAGGTCCCAGTTTTTTTAATCCGACAATATATCTAATCCGTTCGGGCCTCGCAAAACACAACCGTTACAGAAATACGATTCGCATTTCGAGATGTTGGCGAGCTCTTTGGAATGCAACGAGGTTCGCCTCACTGATAAAACTCGATATACGTTCGTTCCAAAAGATTCAATAGATGCCAATTATACAAACCACTTCGAAAGAAAACTTTTGGATTTGTATGTCCATAACAAAAAAGAGTATCAGAAGGAACTGATGAAAATGTCAAAAGAGTCAACAGGGTTTCTCGAAGTTCTGATTAGGAACAAACAAAAATAGGATCCTGGCCAAAAGTCTGCGACATCACAAGTCAGTGGCATGGACCCTTAGGAACAGCGTGGCTTTGCCTTTTGGGACCGTCGTGAGTTATCCAGATGACTTCCATTATGTTCACAGTTTTTACAGAC